TAAATCCAGCAGTTCTCATTGAAGGGCTACTGAAATATAAGACATAAGGCAGCATTCAGAAACGCCATCAAATTAAATTAATATCTCTGCTTTACTGCCAAGAAGCAAAGACTGTGGCGAATGTAGGCTTATCTGTCAAAATTTCATACTTTCCCTGTTGATATAATGAATATAAAAGGTACCAACGCAATATGGAATTAACTACTGGGGCTTTATTTTATAGTAGTTGGTGCTGTGACTTTTTGATTATTATTTCCATTCCTTTCAAACCAAGAAAATGGATAATAGTGGTAGTGTTTCCAGAAGCCTCTGCAGCTGAATTACTGAACCACGTGACACTGGGAATGAGGAAATAGTGCCTAGCTTGTGATCTTGTTCTTTCTGCATTTTGGAAGGATTTTCTCTTAGAGGCACAGGAGATGAAACATATAGGGAAGAGGGAGAAAAAACAGCTTTCACCAAAAAACACTCAGTATTTCGGTTTTGTGCTGCAGTCCTTGGCTTTCTTTGGCTTTGGCATTTGGATACACAACTATCGAGGCATGGAGTTGCTGGAAAAGCCGAAAGGACACAATCACGTAAAGAATTGAAAAACTGGAAATGAATCTATATTGGAATCACTGAGAACAGGAAGGTCTCCTCCCAAGATGCAATGTGGTTCCACCTCTAGCAGTTTCTCACCTTATCGCGTAACTGAATGACAAGTGGAATTAAAATACAGCCTGATGGAGCTGACACCATGCTGATACATCGCTTAGACAATGAAAGCAGGTGGTGACACTGCCAAACTATTCATATTTTCACAAAATTTTCCCACCCATGTGTTCCGTGTTACCCTGCCAAATGCTTAATGCAATGATGCTATGGTTTGTCGAACAAATACAAGCTACATGAGTATTTAGCAGTGTTTAAATAATTACACTGTTTGATGTGTTAGTAGGGTTGGCTTCCACTGGGGTGGACACCTGTCAAAATCAGATTCATTTGGGATCTGTGCACTGAAAGGTGTGATTAGATCCATTTAGTTATGCTTCACTCTCAGCAGCACTGCTTTACAATATGTATCAATCGCTCAACATCCGTTGGCCTCAGTGCAGCAGATGGACATTAATAAGTAAAATTACATTTGGAAGGACACTCTATCTTCACATTGCACTTCCATTATCGTTTTGCAGCTAATTCATAATTAGCATCTGTTATCACTGTGTCCCCCCCATACGTACCGACTGGTTTTGACAATATTTTGTTTTCACATTTGTTCTGTAGATTGTATCAGGACCTGTCATGCTTCCTCTATCTCTGTTTATCCACTGTAAATATGTTTAAGAGCATCAGCGGAACATCCACCCAACGCTGTGTCAGGTTCAATTTCCTATTGCACTGGTTCTCTACCTTCATCCTACTGTAGTTCCTTTGGAACAAACCCTGGACAATTTGAGTATATCAGGGTGCAGTAGAACAACAACAAACAAACAGGCACTACAGAAACCCCGTTCCCAGGCCAAAACTGTGCTTATGAGATTAAACACATCAGGGCCAATGCTCTGGTTTCTGTGAGCAGACAGTTCCAAAATGAAATACAAATTGCACAAATTGGCATAAATGCAAGAGCTGCATATCATTTTGAATAAAAGCATCTTGTAAGCAAAAATGGAAATATAATAATTTCACTAAAATTAATGATAATGTGTTCTCCAATGTTCAATGCACATTTAACCTATGCTAGTGAATTTTAGATTTTGAGTGGATTTTGAGTAAAACGATGCAAAGTGGCTGAATTTGCACCTTTGTGGTATATATTGTTTGATTTCAGTCATATAACTCTACTACCAGAGTAGGGCCAAGTTAGGTGGTGCTAGCATTATACGTGGGCCAAGATCTGAGATAAAGGAAACAAAAATAATCATTTCACTGTAACTCACTGCTCTATATCCAGATGGAGGGGCAAGAACAAACGGAGATGAAGTTACAAAGACAATCTTTCTATAATAAAAGCAAATTGCAGAATTACCACTTTCAATGACAACTGAAAAGACCGGTACAAGACAGTAAGAAAATCTCATCCCCAAAAGTAAAGAAAGTATGTGTGGTGTAAATTGTTCTCTACTCGGGTAGATTTTATAAGACTGATAATCAGCAGTTCCAGCTTATCTGAATCCTGTATCGAAGAGCAGGTGGACTGATTTACCACTGCATTCCAAGGCTGGACTGACTTACCACTGCATTCTAAGGCTGAGACAATGTGCCCTTGTTCCAGTGCCAAGGCATAGCAGAGGTTGCGCACCTAGAATTCTCAGGACCAGCACGCCATCAGTTTTCGATATCCGAAAAAAACAAACAAATCTGTAGTACATACAGTAAACAATTCAAGTAATTCATTTCTAATGAGACGTCATTCATTTTCCAAACGGTTCAAGGTTAAATTGTTCTGAGTACTTGTATCATATCAAAAAATAACTTAATTTGCCATTAAAAATTATTACAAAATAGTCATACGAAGTCAGCGTAAATCCAAAATAGTGCAACAAATATTCATTTACAGTACTTTAAAATCGCTAACAATCCATTTCTATGCACTGCACAAAGTAAGTAATAGTAAAATAAAATATATTTGTATGACTGTTTTCTGTGGTCCTAGGAGCTATGTTGTCAGGGGCTATTGCCCCTGGTACGGTCTCCCAAGGCAAATTGATCCTAAGTGAATGGCCAGACAAAGTCCAATTCACAGAGACCCCCATGAAGATTAAGATAAAGGATCATGTGACACCATGGTGAGAGGTTCAGGACAGGTGTGAGTCTACTCATAGCCCCCTAGTTCAGTGCTAGTACATTGGAGCTTACCCCAGCGACCATGTAGGTTGCCTTCCTTTGACTTCAAGACGGAGGATGGGCTCTGACTGTTGCCTGTGCTTATGCACCGAACGCCAATTCAGAGCATCCAGCCTTCTTGGAGACCTTACCTGGGGTGCAGGAAGGCCCCACCTCTATAGACTCCATTGTTTTACTTTGGGACTTTAACCCTTACGTGGGTAACGACAGTGAAACCTGGAAGGATGTGATTCTGAGGAATGGCCTGCCCGATCTGAACCCAAGTGGTGTGCAAAACCACAGTTAGTCCATAACAAACATAACTTATGTTCGAACATAAGGGTGTTCATAAGTGCGCCTGGCAGCAGAGAACCCAAGACCGCAAATTGGTGAATGATTTTGTAATTGTATCATTGGATCTGCATCCACATGTTTTGGCTACTCAGGTGAAGAGAAGAGTTGAGCTGTCAACTAATCACACCACCTGGTGGTTGGATCAGATGACAAGGGAAATGCTAGATAGATCTGGTAGACCCCAACACATAATGAGGGTGTGCTGGGAGTGTCTGGCAGAGGCCCTTCCTGTGAAGTGTTCAACTTGCAGCTTCTCTTGCATCCCGAGTGAGGCTGGGGACATTGAGCCTGAATAGGCGACGTTCTGTGCCGCCATTGCTGAAGCAGCTGTGCGGAGGTGTGGAACCGTAAGGTTGTTGGCACCTGTCGTAATGGCGGTCCACAAATCCAGGGTTGGACAACAGTGGTAAAGGGAGCTGTCAGGGTTCCAAGTTTAGTTAGCTTGTCGGACAGGTACTGGTGGGCTAAGCAGAATGTGGCTTTGGCAGTTGCAAAACCAAAAACTCGGGTGTGGGAGGAGTTTGGTGAGGCCATGGAAAATGACCTTCGGTCGGCCTCAAAAAGATTCTGGCAAACATCAGGCAATTCAGGAGGGGGAAGCAAGGCTACAGCAGGGAGGGAGTGCTGTTGACCTCAAATGGGGATATAGTCAGGTGGTAGAAGGCATACTTTGAGGACCTCTGAATCCTACTGACAAACCTTCCTTGGAGGAAGTAGATCTGGGAAGACTTAGAGGAGGACTCACCAATCACTAGGGCTAAGGCCACTGAAGTAGTCAAAAAACTCTTTGGTTAATTAAAAAATTAAAAAAAAAAACTCTTCGGTGGTAAGGCTCTGGGAGTGGATGAGATTCCCCCTGAGTTTCTGAATGCTCTTGATGTTGTTGGGCTGTCTTGGCACTGTTACAGGTCCTGTATAACCCGAGCGAGTTTGGTTCACATTGCCAGCAGGAAGTAAGACTCTTTCCCGGTGGGTGTTGAACTCCACCAGGGCTGCCCTTTATCACAGATATGTTTCATAACTTATGGACAGAATTTCTAGCCGTAGCCAAGGGGCAGAGGGGGATCCTGTTCAGTGACCTCAGGATTGCGTCATTGCTTTTTGCGGATGATCTGGTTAGGTGTTTTCGGCATGTCCAACCGGGAGGAGGCCCCAGGGCAAACCCAGGATATGCTGGAGAGGATATATCTCTCAGCAGTCCTGAGAACGCCTTGGTATGCCTCCGGAAGAGCTAGAGGAGGTTGCTGGGGAGAGGGAGGTCTGGGCATCCCTGCTTAGACTGCTGCTCCTGTAACTCAGGGTCCCAGATAAGCGGTGGAAAATGAATGAATAAATGAACTGTTTTCCAACTTTTTTCTCTGATTGGGTTTACACATGAACTTTCACCCAGACATCACTTTCTAAGCCCCATTAATATGGTTGAAACCACATAATGTTCAACTCACTGGAGTTCAGACAATTCTCTGGCAATAATAAACATCTGCTTCCCACAGTGGCAAAGTAAATTAAAAGCAAACAATATGAATCAAAATCAAACAAAATTTAATTAAACTTTACATAAATCTGCTCTATTAAAGTATTTCTTTCTCTAAAATTCATGAAGCAACTATCCTTCCCAATTCCAGTTGAAACTGTCCCTTAACACATATTGTGTCAAATGATATGGGTGAATTTCAAACTGAGCTTAATTAGTGAACTTGCTTGGGTTAGTTGCCTTGTGTTTTTTTTAGTATATGTCATACACTCCCACTGCCCCCAGCCCACTGGCCTAAGAGAAGAGCTGTCTGTCACACATGGTGGTGTCACGACGTGAAAGGAGGAACACTCCAAATGCAGCCTTCCAGGACTCAAAGGATTTATTTATTAAATCAAAATAGCCACCAATTAAAATAAAAGGACCGCAAGAGGTCAAAGAGAATGCATGGTGGAATAACTAGGCAGAAACAGGGCAATCAGACACCTGGGGCGCACGACAGGGGCCAGAACTACAAACACTAAGCATGCTTAACATTCACAACAGCTATAATAACTGAACTGAAGAACAGGGCAAGGGCAGGCATCTATAAACACAGATAACAAGAGAGACAGGTGTGAGCGATTAACACATTAGGGATGGAGACAATTAAATATAGTGGGGAAATACGAGATGGTCAGTGACATCTGGTGGCCAAATAGGAACATGACAGGGCTGACAGGGCCAGATCCTGACAGAGGGGATGTCCAAGCTGAGTGTCCGTCATAAAAGTCTTGCACATCAAGCTTTATAACCTAACCATTTATTGGCCGTGCTTCAGTATAAGTTTAGCAGCACACAAGTTTAGTAGCAAAGCTTAGTTTATGGGTGTGAATGCTTGACTCCATATCCATGGTTACAAATATCTCAAATAAAATTGTCCCCGAGTTGTTTGGTAGATTCAGGCATCAGGCGTCCAGAGGCGGGACCCAGAGCCCCCGTCAATCAATTTTAATTTGCCCGAACTGATGATGCATGTATCCCCGAGACTGATTTGACACTGATGGAAGAAAATGACTTTCTCTTTATCGATGTTGCCCATGGACGGCGTCACGCTTCTCATGCAGCTCAAGGGAAAGGTCAGTTTGATTGAAGATTTGTCTCCTGGAGAAAAGAAAAGCAGTGAAAGCCAGGCGAAGTCAGAGGACTTTTACGTGCTACTTGGTATGCTCACATTCTCACTGCACACAGGGGAAGGTGACTTATGTGGGTTGCTAATTCTCAGTGCCCAATTTATTAGGTACACCTAGCTAGTACACACTCTTGCTTCAAGAACAACTTCAAGAGTAAATAGGTATTACATTCAGAGAAGCCTTTCTCTACACCATTGTTGAAATGAGATGATCTTTTTGCACTTGTAGCCTTCCTGTTAGCTTTAACAAGTCTGACCATTCTCTTTCATTGACAGGGCATTTTTGGAGAAAGAACTGAGGCTAACTGGATATAATTTTTTTGCTTTATTGCACCATTTTCGATGCCATACTGTGTGAAAATCCCATGAAGGTGGCTGTGCCTGAAATGCTGGAACCATGTCTGATACTGTCAATCACACCAACATCAAAATCACTTAGATCACACACCTTAGCTATTCTAGTGGTTAGTCAAACAGTAAGCAAACCTTTCAACAGTAAGCAAAAGTTTCAGCCAATTTTTGGGCAATTTCTCTGTTCTCAAAAGATGGAAAAAAATCCACCAAATGTTCTATATGTGCATTTTAATGCATGCTTTACTGAGTATTCTTCTCTTATGATCTTGCTTTTATATCACTCAGGATGGAAAAATCTCCAGCATCTCTTGATGTGTGAAGGATCTGTGTTCTCTGCCCAGCCTCGACTTGTAGCTGCCTGGTTTTCCTTTGGGTAGGAGTCACCTCACCTCATGGTGTAAGTGTAAATCAGTTGCTAATTGAAAGCTTACTATAAACCCTACAGTGTCCTGGCCTCCTGCAGCTGGAATTGTCTCCTTATGTCATGCAGTTCTCTTATCCAGCTTGTATGGAAATTACCACCCTGACCTTGAATGCTAATTAATTCCTTGGGCCCCTATCTTGGCATGTAACTTTTTCAGTGCAGGTTTATAATAAGGGCACGCCTTCCCATTCCCTTCACCACAGGATAGCTTAAAATGCTACAGCTCACTTGCGCTCCTACCCCCAAGTAATATGAAAGCACGATATACTTGTGCTTGTACGTTTGTTATTATATATTAATGATTTTCGGAGAAAAAAAAAACTTTATTCTCAACCTTGAAACACTTGTTTGAATACATACAATCAAAATGTTTAGATTTTAAAAAAATCGAAATTAATACTTCTGATTAAGTGCAAGGAAACACACCACATTTATTCTTGTTAAACCTGATTATTAATTATAATTATGAGTACAAGTTAGTTAGGCATTGTCCCTCTAGCCAAAGGAAAGGGGGGGGGGGGGTTCATTCCACAATGGACAGTGCATTAAAATGTCCTTTGCGGAGAGCTGTCTGATATGACCATGGCAACTAATCTCCCATGTGATTTCCACATCCGCCACAGGTGGGCTACATTTCATAAGCATCGTCTCCTATGCGTGCTTACGTCCACATTCCTTTTGCCGATTATCATTTCACATTACAAAGCTGCTATCACTATAATTGGTATGCAAATCCAAGGCAACTGGTAATATATTAGAAAATAATTATAGCCATGAATAAAACAATGTAAACCTAAAATTAAAATAAATGAATTAAATATTAAGCTGGCGATAGATCACATAAATATTTAAGCCTAACAAAAAAAAAGTTTTGGAGACAAAAAAGCAAAACTAAGGCCTAATGAAAAGCAATATATTTTTATTTGTACCATTCAAGGATCATGATGAGAGACTGAAGAATTACATTAAAAGGAGGCAAAGTGCTTCATGAGGGCATGTGAATCCTGCATGATGTATGCTTTGGATATAGGGAGGTGCATTCTGCTTAATACAGTCACGGAGATTCTAGCTGTCATTTCATTGTTCATTACCAGCTAAAGTCACGTGATGCAAGCTTGCGCTGGATACTGGTTATTGCTCAAGCTATGCTCAATGGTAGCTTCAGACTTTGCCACTGAAATGTCAGTGAGACATAAAGAATTGGAACCCTGCAAATGCAGAGCCCACATGTGAATTCCTGGCCAGAATGCAGGGTGGCAGTGCTGTTTTGCCTTGGGACAAGGGCTTCTCCTGATGCTCCCCCGTACTGGGACAGATAACCGAGGAACACAATCATAGTGGTGGCAGGTTTTAATTCATGCACAGACAAGGAAGCAGTTCTCTCACTCTATAGCCTTAAGGTGGGACGTGTTACCCTAATATAGATTTAAAAGCTGAAAACATGAATATTTTACGTCCTCCCACACACACACCACAGAAAGGCCACAGGACACCCTGGTGCCTGGCAGCACTTAGTAACTTAGTAACATTTCCAAGGGAAACACGTCTTTTTTTTACTATTTTTGGCTTGGAGATAACCAAGGCATCTCTTCTGTGAGATGGACGGAAATGTTTGTGGGACAAATTCAGGTTACACTTTACTTAAGGCCACATTTTTAGTAATTTATAGACACATTCATAACAAATAATACTGCATTCATAAAGCATTATAAACATGGCTATAAATATTTAAAAAAGGTATGACACATGAGTAGTATGCATTATGAATGCTTTATGAAGTGCTCAAATATAATGCACTATAGATATCTTTATAATGCAGGGTGCCTTGTACTGCATTATAAAGGTGTCTATAATGCAATACAGGTGATAGCGTCATAAGGCAGTCATAATACATAAGAAACATGGCTATAATGTGTCATATGCTTTTTAAATAAATATTTATAGATATGTTTATAATGCTTTATGAATACTGTTAAATTAATAAAACCATGGCCTTAAGTAAAATCCATGACTTCATTTTGGAAATATGATTTTATTCCATGGAGCAGAAGAAAAGAAGAGAGCAGTTATCAGTTACATATAAATATGCTGTGACTGATCTCCTGTGTATCGTCAAGTCATTCGATGGAGCTCATAATGGAGGCCCCCCCTCGGGGCCGTGGTGCTTTTTTACTATTAGCCTCTTTTACAGTTTTCTACAACTTCTATACTGTCCCCCCAATAAAGTGGCTAAAGTTGCATTAAAGGCCAACAAAGGAGATGCAAAGAGTCAGCGCTAATGCATTATTATACATCATGCGGGCAGTAATTACGTGTTATGTGGGTCAGCACTCTTCATTAGCAAAATTATTATGTTATTATGGTAATATCAGCCTCAGCATACAGTATATGACTTCTCCACAGAACAAAGTAGAATTAGCCCACATTTCATCCACTTCTGCTTTAAAGCTTGCTTTGGTGTTATGGGTAATCTGCTGCATAATGTGGTCTTCATCCATAGCTTTTACATATTCTGATCTTGTGGCACACAGTAGTTTAAAGATGTCCTTAAGTGCATTAGTAATAATCTCAGGTGTTAATCAGGTGATTATCTAATGCGTTTCTGAAGTCCTCTGTGTGAAGAACGGAACGTTCTTCAAAGCTACTCCAGTGGGCAACACTCCAGTGCTGAAAACTGCCTCTCGTCAACAGTAAACCAAGGTGCCCATTGTCACATTGAGTGGTTCCCATTGATGTTTGTGACAGTCTCTGACATTGCGACAAATTCGGGCAGGTATGAAAAAGATGGTTTGATTTTTCAATCCCTTGAGGCTGTAGGGAAGAGTGACACAGCCCAGGCTGCTGATAATTGTATTGTCTTGTCCCCTGTCCCAACCAACCTTCTTGGGAACAACTAAATAAGAAACTTTAGTAATCATGGGAGAGTCGCTTACTCTTAATTATGTTCATTTGTTTGAAGCTGATAAACAACAGATAATAGTACAGTGGTACCTCGGTTCTCAAACTCACTAGAACTCAAATTTCTTGAAAGTCGAACAAACCAGTTTGACCTAGAACTCGATCTGAATATCAGAAGTCGAACCGTGAACGCTGACCTAATATAAATTGTACGCGCCAGGAAATGAGTCATACCACAATGCAATTCTTACTTGAATGCCTTCTTCACAGACTGGACGATTAACAACTATTAGAGCATTTATGTCATTTATTTAAACTTTATTTTACCAGGCAAATTAACTGAAAACCAGTTCTCACGGCAAACCACTCACCATACCTACCTTACATACCATACCTTAGCCTGGGCAAGAAACCTGCTGCTATTCGGATGTGCAATGTTCACACAGTAATTTACCTGTGTAAATTACCACTTAACAATATTTATTGTATTTATATATATTGTATTTCTGCTTCTGTATTTATCATGGTGTACATAGCGCAGAGTCTCTTATAACTTTATTTTTAGTTCTTATTCTTATATCTGATATTCTTTTCTTTTATGTTCTTGTCCTGTGTCTATGTGTGACCGTCTGTAGTAACATGAGCAATTTCCTCCGGGATAAATAAAGTTTTTCTGATTCTGATTCTGATTCACTCACTGATATTCGGGAGAAATAGCAGATTACGCAACGGAACTGCCTGGGATACAAACGTCATGCGTGTAACTAAACTCTTCAGCCAATAAGGGCAAAGGTGTGCCGTCACGGAGGCGGTTCCAGTTCGTGCAGCCGGATGAGAGGTCGCAATGCATCTACCGTAATGCATTGCGTCAGGATCAGAATGCGTTGCTTTTAGCCAGCGCTGTAAGCAAGTCGAACGCACCCAATGAGTGAACTGGGGAAACAAACTGAAACGCGGACTTAATACAGAGGACTAATGACAACAACCAGAAACAGCTGATCACATGGGGATCCCACACGAGGTTAACGAGGGGGCGTGGCACACGGAAGGAGCAGACGATCGGGGCCGGACAGGGGTAATGTTGGGATAAGATCTTTATCATTTTGGAAGCCATTAAGAAAAAAATGCTCTTCTTGTTTTATCCTGTTCATTTTGTGTTTAATTGCTAAAAAAAAAAAAAAAACATATTTAGGTGTAATTTTGGGGGGCTGGGAACCAATTAATTGGTTTTCCATTATTTATTATGGGAAAAATTTGATCAGAACTCGAACTTCTTACGATTCGATCCGGAGTCCG